CGCCCCGGGAGGCCGGCTGGGGGTCCCCGGGAGCGGGGCGCTGCCCCAGGGACAGCTGTGCCTTGACAGGGACGTTCTCCCCCGCTCTCCCCTTCGGCTGGCCGGCTGCAGCGACGAGTGAGTGAGTGTCCAGCCGTGGCCCGGCCCCCGCCCCAGCGTGGTGGTTACTCGTCCACGCTGCCGGGACCCTGCCCGGGTCCTTGGGGGCCTCTGTGGGGACCCAGATGTGGTGCACGGGCAGCGCCGGCCGCAGCTGACCCTGGACGCCAGCGGAGGGCCCCACGGTCCCCACCCTGCCCCGAGGGCTCCGGGCGTCCCGGCGGGCTGCCCGTCCTTTGAGCCGCAGAGTCGGGGTCCCCGACAAGACCAGCTGGACACGGGTGCAGGCAGGTGGCGGGCCGGCGCCCCCCACGGCACTGGGCGCCGCATGTCTGCCGGTGCCCCGTGTGGCACCACCTGTGCTCTGCCCACTTCGTTTTGCCCATTGGCCGGGACAAAGCGGCTGGACTGGTTTTGCCGGACGGGGTGACCAGAGTCAGGGGCGGATGGGCGGGTGTCACCTGGGGCGAGGTGGGGCCCTCACGTGGGCGTGGCCTGCCCTCCTGGAGGTCTGTTCTGCGGACACATGGGGGGGGTGACCCAGGGGTGTCGGGGAGGGCTCAGGTTGAAGAAAAGACAGGCTCTGGACGGAGCAGAGCTGTGGCCTGCAGGGCGCCACCCACGGGGGTGCGTGGCTGCAGGAACCCCCCCTCCGCCCGCCAGCTGCCTGCTGAGAGCAGGTGGCCATAACTGCCCCACCCGGCCCAGCCCCAGGGGCCCTGCGGGACAGGAGGGGCCCCGGGCGCCCAGCTGCGATGAGACAGGATGGCCCGGCCCGGGCTGCTGGTCACCCTGGCGGGCGCTCAACCCAAAGACCCTGTGGGCTGAAAGTGGTGGCGACCCGGGCAGGCAATGTGCGGTGACCCTGCTGGGCTGGGCGCCTCGAAGCCCCGCCTGGGCGGTGCCTGGGTCATGGGCGTGCTCTGCCGGGCCTGGGCCCTCCCGATGCCCAGCTTGGGGCGAGGTCCCCTCGGGGAAAGGCCCAGCAGGGCCCTGTCCTCCGCACTCTGATGGGTGAGGGCAGGATTAATGCAGGTGTCCCGCCCTCCCCCGGGGGCGCCAGGGGACAGTGAAGCGGGCCACGGAGAAGGGTGCGGGAATCGCTTGTAGAGCCAGGCACTTGGCGAGGTGTAGCGTGGACAGACCTGGGGGCTCCCCAGATACACAGGCCCACGCAGACAGGAAGGGGCGGGGAGGTGGCCGAGGGGCTGGGCTGTGCCGACGGCCTAGGCCTGCTGCGTCGCAGGAGGCAGGTGCCGGACACGGCCCCCCCGTGGCTGGCCACACGGGCCCGCGTGTGGAGGACACGGCCTAACCCGCCGTCACGTGTGCCGTGCGGGGCCTGAGCGCAGGCCGGACGAGGCTGGGGGCCCCAGCTAAGGGCGCCCCTCCTTTTAGTCTTCCCGCAAGGCTTACAGAAGCACCCCGCCCTCCTAAGCCACAGTTGGGGTCCCTGCTCACAGCAGGCAGATTCCCGAGTACGCGACCGGAGGCCCCCGGGGCGGAGAGGCCAGGAGCCCGCGAGAGGCCAGGAGCCCGCGAGAGGCCAGGAGCCCGCGAGAGGCCACGCCCACGTCTGTGCTGCCGTCGGGGAACAAAACAAACCCGGCGGGAAGGTGCATCCCTTGGGCTAGCGCAGTGGAGGGCTGGCCGAGCGAGACCGCTGGGCAGGGGCGGGCGGTGGTCGGCCGGACAGCCCGTGCCGAGGGCTGGTCGTTGGTCGTGAGACGCCACGCGACCTCCAAACCGTGGCCAGGCAGCATTGGGCAGCCAGAGCCTGCGGGCTCCTCGGGCAGCCGGGGGCAGTCGGGCAGCCTGGCTGGGCGGTTGGGCAGCCGGGGGCGGTCGGGCAGCC